AAAAAGCAGTGAAAACGGAGTTTGCTATAAAGGTGCACACGAGCTATTTGAACCTGGAATCAGAAACTTACGGAAACTCATTTCCAGAGAATACCTCATGGTAAAAATGACTCTCACCTTTGGGTGCAACAAACTATGGATCTGGGATTGGGTAAGGAAAGGCTGAAAGACAGCTTTAGAAACTAAATTGTAAGCATCCAGATTTGTGACCAGTCTTGCCATTCTTGCATGCAATACAGTCATTAAGTTTTGTGCTTGTTCTGTTAACCCCACAGGAAAGCTTACCACTTCTCAAAGCAGACAGAGGTGATGGACACTGGCATAACGAGTAAAAATTTATATGAAATGAGAAAAACCTAGAGTATACATCTCTTCCAGGCACAGCTGATTACTTCCAGGAATTACTGGAATTTATTTACAATTACTTCCAGGAAGGAGAAAACATTGGAGTTAAACACAATAGCATATTTTTGTGACACAAGGTATTTTCTTTGTGAGCATGGGCAGAAGAACAGAGCCCTGTGCAGTATCCACTCACTCAAAACTGCATAAGCATAGGTACACACAAAGAGAAACACACATACAAGCAACTCTTTTAAACAACAGCTAATACAAGCTTAGAACTGAACACAATTATAGTTGAAATACAGGCATTTTTGCCAAACCTTCAGTATGCCTCATGTTTTAACAAAAATGAATGTAGCAAGAGATTTGAGGGAGAAGGATTTCCGGTTTCCAGTAATTACCAGTAGAACATTAATTATATTCCTACACACAAGATCTCACTATTGATCATTTCACTCTGTGAAGGCCTGTTTGGCTGTAATTTTAACACTGTATGTCACCCAAAGACAACTACATTTTCTAAAGAAAACCTGAAAGCACTATTTAGATGAAAATCTAAAAAAAAAAAAAACCAACAAAAAACAAACCCACCAAATACCCCACAAAATATCTACCCCTGATGGCGTTAAGAAAGTAAGCCTAAGTTACAGGCTTACCATTCAAAAGTGAATGGAAAAATACAATAAAAGACAAAGCATCACACTCGTCCCTGTGATAACAAATGAAAATGAACTTTTGCCAGATGTGACTGCATACAAAGAGGTATGAGATACTAGACGTGCATAGTGACTCCACAGTGACACTACAGAGCAGGGACCAATTCACACAAGTCCAATAGACCTCCCAAGAGACAACAAGCCAGGGAAATGCTCCCCCATGACTGCTCCCTATGGCTATGACCATCCTATGCTGAGAAATTTATGCTGTTGGTATCATCATAGCTACAAAAAACGCATGCCACAAACCTGCGCTTTATCAGCGCAGGCCATGTGCAAACACAGAGCAAAAAAAAAAGAGACTGTAGCTGACATAGGCAGCAATTTAAATACAGGATAGGCAGGCTTAGAAGCAACAGGAGTGGTGATGAGGGTATAAATCAGGTCAGTGGCAGAACTTACCCCAAACCTAAATTCAGAGCTCTACATCCTGAGCAGAGAGAGGTAAGATTCTACCATGACAGGGTAAGGTCTCACCTTCTTCAAGAACACGGGTATTTAAAACAACTGTTTGTCCTTCAAGTTGCCTCTTTTTTTTTTCAGTTCATCAGGCCCTTAAAGAATATGTCTGCACAGGTGACTGGAGACACACATGGAACTCTCTTCACTGTCCAAACACACCAGCTACAAGCCAAACTAAACCTGGAAGCCATGCAGAAGTGTTAGCACTGAGTGAGCTCATTAGTCTGCAGGTCCATCATCATTTTAATTTGGACCAAATGGGACTCTTACTGAGTGTGATGAGGATCGGTTTGCTCTTCCCCCAAGTGCACGTCTCTGCTGACTCCTCAGTGCATTTTAGTCATACATTGAGTCAGACCCAGGAACTCATCCAACTGAAAACCAGGCCAACAGCAACAACAGGAGTGGATTTGCTGGTACCATGCGTGATAGTACCAATGCAAGTGAGAGATCAGGAATGTGTAGCCAGAGGTGAGGCGGGCAGGCTGACCCTTTGGCAGGAACACACATTTATGGCAAATTAAAATCACTGCTCAACCACACCCTCTGCCTTGCAAGAGCTGCAAGTTTCAGTTAGATCCAAGACAGCTTCACATTTGTACGGGTGAACAGCTCCTGGACAAGGACGACCTTTGTGTGAGTTTGTTGAGCCAGGGAAGTGAATGTGCTAGAGATACTTATTTCTAGGTATGTTTGGAGATGCCTCACTCTTTCCATGACTTACTGCTAATAACTTAGATAATGTTAATCTCATTGGACAGCATTTAAATATTCAAACTTCCATTTCTTAAGCCTCCTTTGTGGATGCATGACCCTTACAAATAAGAATGCTCTATTTCTGATAGTAATAATGGGATAATCATGCAGTTACAGAGCAATGCCTACATTATCCTGCACAGCAACTCTCCCCAACATTTTCCTACGAACACAGCAAAACCAGACAATATCTGATCAGTTTTCCCAACCCCACTGAGTTACTATCCACTGCCCTTCAGCTTCTATGAGCCCCTCAAATCTGTGGTTATCACACACAAAAGGGGGTCTCTCCCTCTTTCCCATTTCAAAACATGTATTCTTTTTCTCCTTCCCTATGCTCTCACTCACATGATCTGCTCCTTGTATAGATCAGAACTACTCATCACTGGGGGGAAAAAATGGCAAATGGATCAGAATTAGGAGCTTCCGAGCTGGAACGTAAGTCTAATGCTGCTGACTTCCCCCTTGGGAAAAGGATCTGCTCTCTGCCTCAGGAATTGAAGTCATCTGTATATGAGAGATTTCTGGCCACTCATTCATGTTGCTCTACTGTACCATGCAGACCAAATGGCAGTCTCTGTGGCTTTTGTCATATTACCCATATTCTATGCCACAATCCTTCTACCCTGTCATCACCATGTCTCCCTGTCAGCACCCCCACCCTTCCATCCAACCCCTGATATCCAGGTCTGTCAGATCTGAACCGACTTTGGGGAAAGCACAAGAAGTTTATCAAAGCTGGCTCCGTAACAGAGCCTTGAACTTTGTGCCTCTCTTAAAAGGCTATGTCCTACTACTTTTCTCGCAGTCTGTCTCCAGATTCATTTTTTGCTCTGCGGACATGCTATGGGTTTTACATAATCAGGCTTTTCTTACATGGTCTTCAAGATGTTATACAACTACATTTTCCCACCACTAATTTCAACAACACTTAATAGGGATTAGAATTGAAACCCAAATTGGCAGAATTGAGGAATTTGCACCTTTGTTACAGTATCAGATGCATCCTCAAACATCCTCTATAGTAAAAGGTTGACCTAAATCTGCTATTGCTTCATGTTTAATTCAGATACCTTTGAGTGTATCTCTTCCACCCCCCCCCCCCAATTTTCTATTCTCATCACTCGTGTATTGAGGTTTATGGTGACTTCACTTAGACAAACACTCAACTGTTTCAAAAATTTGTTTCTACAAAACTATAGTTTATCAGAGGGAGAGAACACAGCAGATCTGGAGCTTAAACCACTATGCTATATTCAACCACTATGCTATAAACAGGTACTTTACAACTTCTCTAGAGCAACCACCAGTGTGATCTTCTAAACTATGCACTTACTTCAAAGACAAGGCGAGTACATTACACAGTAATGAACAGAACTTTCACTTTCCTATTCAAGAACATTACAGGTAAGCAGGAAATGATGATGCTTTTGATACAGTAGGTGCAAAAGAAAACAAACTCCAGCAGTAGATCTCTGAACTGTCTCCAGGTTCTTATCAAGTGGGAATAAACGCTCCCAGAATGCCAGCATATGAAGTACACTCCAAAGTAATGTGTCAAAACAATGTATTGGCCATGGCATTGAAAGCCTCTGAAAGGCCATGCATTGTATTACACGTTTTAGGATCACCTATTAGTTCAAATTACACTTAACACAAATTCATCTGAGCCAGGATCAGAGTAGGTATGGATTTTGGAGCACATCTTCTAGCCTAATAATGACCTTCACCAATAGCAAAATCTCAGTCTAAATGAAGACGCAAAACTAGTCTTTTGATTTAATTTATCGTGCATTATCTGTGAGCAAAAGGCCTCCCATTTAGTTTAGCTGCCCCACTGCAAGGTAATGGTCTGTCATTAGTTATTTATCTCTCTAGCTATGCCCTTAAAAGGTTCCTAGGCAAACATGTAAAAGCAAATTGGTCTGAGTAACAGCATTACTGTAAAGGACTGTGAAAGACAAGATAGGGTCACGTGATTCTAGTTTCTAGAAAACCAAGGATATCCTCACAGGATCCTGTAACAAATTTTAGGTTAAATCTTTGTGGTCCCACGTGGGCAGCAGGGATATCCACTAAATTCCCAATCAAGTGACAGAAAACAGCACCAAGGCTCAGAATAAGGAGCCCTCCTTTTATCACTGTTAACTCTACTGCTAATACTACACTTTTTAAACGAAAATAAAGATGTATGGGCCTAACAGCTGGAGAAACAAAAAGGCAAGCCTCCCCTAAAAACGTATCAGATTTTTAGTTCTGTTTTACAGCATCGCGCTGAAGATTGCCCTTACCCGGAGCAAGCCCTGCGGTGAAAGGGAGCAGGAGCCGCTCCCCACATTCTCTCCTCATTCACAGGGTTGCACCGCGGCTACAACTCTCCCAAGCAGGCACAGAAGCGCCAGTTGGGCTGGGGCCGCTGCTCCCGGGGCACCGCCCAGCGCCGGAGGGTCCGGCCCGGTCCCGCTCCACGGACGCGTCCCCGCTGCCCCGGCTTGCCCCCGGTCAGCGGTACCTGCCCGGCACGACCCCGCTTGGCGCGGCCCCGGCGGAGCCTCCCGCCACCGCCGCAGCGGCTGTAGCCGGCCCAGCCCGGCCGCCTGCTCCCCTATTCCTCCCCTGCTGGGCATCATCCTCTACAGCGGCGCCTCCTCCTCTTCCTCCTCTCTCCCCCCTTATTTCGCTTTCCCCTATGTCCCCCAGCGGGTTGTTACCTTCGGTTACCGTTTTTCCGAGTAATTCCTGTCTCCAAACCGCTGCCCCCACCTTCCCTAGCACACAAGCAACTCCCAGCAAAGAAAGAGAGGAGGGAAAAATAAATGAAAAAGAAAGGAAGAAAAAATATTACAAGCCGCTCTCCTCCTCCTCCTGTGGGTCTGGTACTATATATCCGGCCGGGGGAGGGAGGAGCAGCGCCTCTGCTCTGCCTTCCCCTCTGCTGCCTCTTGCACTGAGCGGCTGCGGCCGCGCGGAGCCGGGGAGGAAGGCGGCTGCCTGCCCGAGGATGCGGACCGGCTCTTCTCCTCCGCCCTGCCTCGCTCCGCTCCGCTGCCGTGCGGCCGGGACCCGGCTACACGGCAAGCGGCGTGTCTGCAACGGGTGCCGCTAGCACGCCAGGCACACCGGGGGGGCCCTCTTCCCCTGCCGCCGGCAGCAGTCAGACCCGTGTGTCGTGCCCTCACCCCGCCTCAGACCGCCCCTTCTCCCCCAGTCCCCGCCGTTGCCGGCATCGCCCAGCTAGGCAAAGCCACGTTTCGCTGCCCGCTCCCTGCGCATTCGGCCTCCGTTACCCTTGCCGCAGGGTACCCGCGCACGCCGCCGCAGCACCTCTCGGAGGAAGGCAGAAGAGAGAGCGAGAAAAGGCTCCCTCCCTCCCGTCGGGCTCCCTTCGTTACCGGAGTGCCGGGGCTCCTCCACCGGCGCGGCCGCCTCCGGGCTCCTGGGGACGTGCGGGGGATTTTCAGCGCCTCTCCCCGAGCCCCTGCCCTCGGCCTCCTCCAGCTGCCTGCCGTGGACAGCCGGGGGCTGCGGAGCAAGGCTGGGCTGCAGCCCCTGCCCGCGCCCGGGAGGCGAAAGGGGGGTGGGGGGGAGGGGGAACGGACCGAGAGCTTTCTAAACCCAAGACGAAAAGGCAGGGCAAGTGGTCCCCCGGGTGTCCTCCAAGGTTATTACACCTCCTTCCCATCAGCTTAAAGCAGAATTTTACCTCCGTGTTTAAAATGGTCAGGGAGAATGCTGTACACAGAAACGGAGCTATAAAACCGGCACGTTAAGCTAATTACATAATTTGCCTTACAAGCATTGGGAAAAAAGGGAGGCATGCAGCACACCTACTCAGCCACAAATATCTACCTTTGCCACAAATACTAGTTTTCTCACTTGGCTATAGAAGATACACCCTTAGATCTTTTCAACCCAACAGGAGAAACAGCAAGATGTGACGCTTTCATAACCTGTTATTACACTAACAGTATGCACAAGCATTAATTAATTTTACAAGGTTGTGTTTATCTAATTACTGTCTTCAGTTTATTAGCCCTGAAAAAATGTCAGCCCCAGAGAGGTTGGGTAAGATGCCCACTGATGACTGAATCAATATCAGAGCTGTCAGCAGAACTCCATACACAAAGGGATTAGGTGCTACACCCACAGTTGCAGTTCTCCAGCCTCTAGTTCCTTTCCCGATAAGCTTATAAGCTACAGGTGCCTGCTATTTCCACATGAGAGTTTCCTGTGTGCATGTCTGTTTGATATCTGGACACTAGTAGTTACAGCTTTAGATTAGGTGGTCCCAAGAGCCTTCACATTTTCACCTCATTCTGGCTAGTGTCCTTACAGTACACATCTCTGTACCCTTAATGTGACATCATGGTGTATGTAGGGCTGTGGACCATAAAAGTCAAAATTGCCCAGAAAACAAGACCATAAAATCATATAATCATAGAATGGTTTGGGTTGGAAGAGACCTTAAAGATCATCCAGTTCCCACCCCCTGCCACAGGCAGGGACACCCCTTCACTAGACCAGGTTGCTCCAAGCCCTGTCCAACCTGGCCTTGAACACTTCCAGGTATGGGGCAGCCACAGCTTCTCTGGGCAACCTATGCCAGTGTCTCACCACCCTCGTAGTGAAGAATTTCTTCCTAATGTCTAATGTAAATCTCCCCTCTTTTAGTTTAAAGCGATTCCCCTTGTCCTATGATCTGTCAACCACACTACACTTGCCGAGTTGGAGTGGGGTCAGATAGAGCGGTTCAGGGAATTTGACACAAAGAGGTGGGATGTGGAGTACGTTGACTTTATCACTTACATAGGTGGAAGAAAGACTGGTGTCTTCACAAATAACTCAGTGCTATCTCAACGGACTGAAGCACTCAACAGGAGAATTGAAGCCCTGGCTTCAATGTAATCTTTTCCTTTACAAGGAAAAACAACCTACAACTTCTTTTACATTTGGACTTGATGATCTTAAGGGTCTTTTCCAACCTAAACAATTCTATGATTCTAACAAAGCAGTTTCAGATTAATTAATTAGAAATGTAGCAGGAGGGAGCTTGCACTGAAAGAAACTACAGGAAGTGGTTCTTACCCAAGGAAGTCTCAGCTATTTGCAGACAGTGACTGAGGGTTGCTGGGATAATCCTGAGTAAACAGGGGTTTGGTTGCCTACATCTCAGATGTATTCTTTAACATAAACATCTGCCTTGACAGGCTGGCCAGGCCTCTGTCTGAACTGAAAAAGTCATGCCTGAACTGCCAGCTGAAGGTGAGTACTTGGCACAAAAAATAGGGAATAAGCAGACAAAGATGTGAAGTAATAGAAAAGGCAGACAGGGGTGGCTTTCTTCAAAGACCATGATCTTGCAGTTTGAAAAATAACCAGAAGGGAAGTTTTCTGCAAAGCACAGAATTAGAGAGAACTATTGCTAGCATTATCTTTCTAGAAAGCTTGGTAAGCATCAGTTCTTGCAGGAACTCTTTCAGGAGGCATTGCATAGGAGACAAAGTACCTTCCCATCTACAAACCTACTGAAATTCCTTTGTGAAGTTTTGAAAAAGGAGGCAAGCTTGAAGAAGAGCTCCAACTAAGAGAAGGTTAGGACATTAAACAGGTAGCATGTCAGAGACAGTACATGACAGCTTCCTAGAAATCTCTCGAAAATAGGCAAGGGAATAATTTGGTTAAGGAGATGAAGAAACAAGAAACAATCAATTTAACAGTGCCAACCTGAGAGGGTTACCCTCTGAATTTACGAACTGGAGGCAGTAGTCCAGCTCTAAAATATGTCAAGAGCTGGGGGAAATCTAGAGGCTTGGCTGAAAAAAATGCCTTTTAGCTAGTAATAGTAGTATATCACAAATGCTTAAAAGGAATAAAATATGTAAACTCTCATGGGTACTCTGCCCTCAGGGAAAATTAAAGAGAGAGATTAGCCTTTACTGTTCTTTCTTGAGTAACCCTCTTAATTCCATCATTCATTGCAGTTACTGAGCTGGAGAAAGAGCTGTTGTAAGCCTGGGACTTTAGTGCATATCACAGGGATGAGGCATGAGTTTGAAACCAACCTTGCCAGAGATTGCATGCACCTAAGCTTTTGTCTAAAGCACTATGAGGAAGATGTAAAAGTAAGGAAGTTAAATTTTACATCAAACTACTATTAAATGATTTGATGCAAAACTACTTAAGGGAGGATGCCTGGTAAATGTCCATGAGGCTAGTACTGGATGAATTGGAACAGCATTTCCCTCACTTCCTTTTACAATGTGCCCTAACTCTACATCTAATGGATTACTAAAGGGCAGAAGATCAGGAGGAGAATTCAATGTTTGAAACACTTAACTGAGGATCTTCAGAACAGACTAGCCTCAGTGCAAAACCCCTCTTCTTGTATGCATGATGAACTAAGGAACTTCACAATTGCTTCACAGAAATTAGGGAAGGTTGAGCAGCTTAATTCCTTCAAGCTCAATCAATAATCTTTCTGTTGCAATTGCAGATCTGTACCAGGCGCAATGATGTCTTACTGTAACCTGTTGACATAGTCTTAGCGTCTCATTTCAACACAGGCCAAAGCACAAACATCAGCTGGTGAGGACTTGTGGTACTTCCCCCTTTCCAATGCCAAATTCAAGAGTAAGGCTTAGGCATGAAAAGTTTTGTTTTGAATAGCCCATGGATTCAAATGAAGTGCACCTCTTTGGCAGGTTTAACAGCACATACTATCTCCTTGAAAAACAAAAAGCCAAACCCCAAGAAACTCTTTTTTTCCTTGAACTTAATTTACACACCTTTACATCATTAAGAAGTTAGAGAGCTCAAGAGAACTTCAACAAAGCCTTAGGAGTACAAAACCAAGGAAGCACTTGCACAGAATAACTATTTAAATACCTAACAACAAACCTAAAGTAATTCACAGGCCATTAATGAAAGAAACCTATCCTAGCAGGGGTATAGTTTCATCTAAATGCAAGAGTGAAGTGCTACATTTGCTCATCTACATAGGAAAATGAATTTTATACAGTTTCTTAAGAAATTAATTCATAGTCAAGTAACTGGTCTAGTTGCAGTTTATCTGTAGTGTATGTTGTGCCAGCAAAAAAGATCACACAACAGGTGATTAGCTTAAAAGCCACTCTGTGACGATGATGTCTTTTAATAGATGAAGAACTTCAGTGCTGTTAAAATAAACATCACTGGCAGTAACTCTGTATGGTGCTCACACTTGGTTTAACACCAAAAATCAGTTTGGTACTCATCTCAAGTCTTAAAAGGCTGGATAGAACATCTGTGACCAGCTCTTGAAAAATATTACTGCTTACTTTGAGGTTAGCTGTTACCCTGAACAGGGAATTGCTATTAGCCACAAACCTGTTTTCAACAACTTCAGAAATAATAAGCATAGATATAGGGGTTTGGTTGGTTGGTTTGGTTATTTGTTTGATGCGTTAAATGTGAGCAAAGCAGCTTAGTCTGAAGAAACAGTACAAGAGCCTATAAGACCTATAAACTGGAGAAAAAATTAAAAAAATCCCAGTCCTTAGGGCTACCAACTATGAGAAATGTAAGGGAATCTAAGTTTAAAGGTTCATTTTAATACTACTGTTTATATTTTCTAATAGCAATTGTTCAAGTTGTCTGACTGTTCAGATTTCTGTTATCCCTGCTTTTCAATTGCACTTAACCTTCTTCAACCTGCTTGTAAGCTTGCCTTATTTTAACAGAGAAAAATACTTTTATTGAAAGCTTGAGGAAATCTAGTTGGATTATTCTAAAGAGTGTGTATACTTTCAGATATGAGTACTTCACAGACTGAATTAGGAGTTATGGACATGGACCTCAAAACCAGTTGAAATTGGGGTCTTCATTCTTATTTTATCAGGAAGATCTGATGCCCTTTACATCAAAAAAGGAAGTATTAACATTGGCATTCCTACTCAATAATGTCTATGTGAATCCTATTTGTTACAACTGAGTTTGTCCCGCTTCCCCGATATGAGACCAGAGCTGAACACAGGAGGCCTCAACTTTAACAAGAGCATCACCAAGGTGAGAAATGTAAACTACTTTTCTTCCCAAGTTCAGCTACATTGAGGATATGAAGGCAGGTCT